GCTGAAATGATTGTAGTTCTAAATTAAATAATAATTCTTCTGATGTATATATACACATTTTCAATACTGCAATACTGTAATACGTGGTTTCGATGAAATTTTTTCTTTGCAGAAGTTTGATCATCACTAAATCAACTTTATTGTGTTTTTTTTCCTTGTTGTACAATACGTAGTCCGGAATAACCACTAAATTGTTTAATTTAATGGAGGATATGTGTATATATATGGAATGATAGAATTTTTTTATTTAAAGACGACGTTCCTTCAACTTGATTCTCTCATAATAAGTAAAAAGTAATGTTATTTTAAAAAAATCCATCGTTATGAAAAAGGCTCCTAAGAGTCGTGGTATTTCATTCGTATCGAAAATATCACCCCAAACGTACCTGCACCAGTCTCTCTGTTTCGTGCAGATGGTGTTTCGTTGCAAATTTCATTGCAAACCGAGTACGTCATTAATAACGAACAGCCGCACATTGTTCACACACCCTATGAGTTGACAACGAATTAATTTACCCTTCAATCAACAAATTCCCGCCGCTCAAAAAAAAGCAACTCACAAGATGACCCACTAGATGACCCACTAGATAACCCACAAGAAGATGACCCACTAGATGACCCACTAGATGACCCACAAGAAGATGACCACAAGATGATCCACAAGAAGATGACCACAAGATGACCCACAAGATGACCCACAGTAAGATGACCACAAGATGACCCACATGATGACCCACAAGAAGATGACTCACAAGAAGATGACCCACAAGAAGATGACCCACAAGAAGATGACCCACAAGATGACTCACAACAAGATGACCCACAAGATGACCCACAAGACGACTCACAAGAAGATGACCCACAAGATGACCCACAAGACGACCAACAAGATGACCCACAAGATGACTCACAATATGTGGTGTACGATATTAACACATTCACACATTCTTTACTAACTCACAAGAAGTAATGCACGATGGATTATACAATTTCAACATTCTTTTTCCCCACCATATAATGATTCATATAATGTTTTTTTTTCGATTCATATAATGTTTTTTTTTTATCGTTCTTTTCTTTTTTTTTTTTTATCATTCACATAATACGTACGTACGTACGTACGTGCTTTGTGACGGTAAAATGTGACCTAGCCGCAGTTGTGAAAACGTGATTCAGCCACATGACTCGGGACCCGAAATGCGGATTGATCGAAGCATTTAATAATACTAATTCGGGTTTGGCTTGAGGCGATGCTTCATTGAGAACAATAGTAAGGCGTCGCTGGTATTCACATGGTGGGAACTAAAGTCATTGTCCTGTAAATGAATATGAATTGCTTAGTTTTAGCCATAGATTCCCCCGATTCTCTAAATAGCTATATTACTTATAATGATCTTAATCGTAATAGCAAAGCCCAATGTTCATAATGAATAAAAGCTCCTTGATTTCATGTAACTGATAGATAATAGGTACCGTATTTTCGCGTAATAGCGCGCAGGGGTGTAATTTCGAATTTTGGCCTAAATTAAGCTTAATTCGGGCCAAATTCGAAATAACGCTCATGGGCGTTATTACGCGAAAATACGGTAAATAAGAAATAAAGACCATCTAATCCAGGGATCCTAGTGGCAGTAGGATCCTTGGTTCTCGGACCAAATCTTCCACGCCCTTTTTCAAGTTTCATTTTTGGTTGTTTTTCGACGGTGAAACATATCTTTTAGCCGTAGTACCATTTTTCACTGTCACGACGTACATTATGAATTTTAAATTTAGTATCCATTAGATTATGTGATAATTATCGCTTTTTTTATAAGCTTTGAGGCAAATAAAGTAGGTTACCGTTACCTTGACGAACCAAAAGTAGATTCGCGATATGGAAATGATGTAAAATTTTGATATCATCCTTATGCACCCAAATCACATAGTGTTATATGTAACGATAATACTAATGATAATACTAATGATAATACTAATGATAATACTAATGATAATATTAATGATAATACTAATGATAATGCTGAAAGAATCACCATGTAAAAATATGGCAGGATGTGGTAAAGGTCTTAAAAGAATATAGGAATGGTTTTGGTATTGTGGTCAACCCAGCATAGTTTTATTTAATTTTTAAAAAAAGCTGCACTTCTACTGCTATACCGGCGACTTCTGGTTGGATATTCGTTTAATTTATTTAATTGACTCGATGGCTAGATAACTTATTTACTCTTAAAATACTCTCAAAAATACAAAATTTGATTATCACGACATTAATCATATCGTTATAGGAGTTAATTGCAAGTCAGTGTAAATGTTATTTAGATAAAATATGCGTGTGCGATATTGTTTATTAACTTAATATGATCTAAAGGTTGTAATTCGTTTATGTATATGTTTAAAAAAATCGTACGTACGTATACTGTTTGTATTTATTAGTTAAACAATTTATCGTTACGCAGGCATTACGTTAACCTGCCATAAAAACGAGATAATTATCACGTTTAACTACGATTATATCGAGGGTTTACTATATTTAATAATCCAAATTTAGAAAAAAAAAAATATTATATACAATATATAGTTTCATATTATTTCCATATCGTTTGATTTAATTAAAATTCTTCAAGTATAATATATTCATATTAACTTCATAATGGTGATATTCTTCAAAATGAAATATTTAGCGTATCTGAAAAGAAAGGAGAAAAATTATTCGAATGCTACTTATACAGTACTATTAAATCTTATATCATATATAGCTTTGTCAAAAAACAATGAAATAATTCATGTGAATGTGCTTATATTGTGTTTGAGATTTTACAAGGAAAACCATTCAGAATAGTTATAGATATTTACAATTTTGGAATTATCATTACTGAGATGTTGAATTAACAAATTAACTAATAAAGAAATCAAAGACGAATTGATAAAAATAAACAAATGTGAAATCCGAAACAAAAAAGAAACAATGTTTAATTATTTTTTTCAACAGAAAAGAAAATATGCTCAAGAACTACCGTAATAATTATTTTTTTAGTATGAGGAAGGAATCGAGAAGCTAAATGATCCTTCATGCACGAATTAATTATCTCAGTTCTCTCATCCAAAGTTAAATTTTTATTTTTTATTGTGATTTCTTGATAAAGAATGTATCACCATGAATTTGTTAAATAAAGGTTTTTTTGCCTTAAAAAAGGAAAAAGCTTTTTTTTTTTGCAGTCGTGTTAAACCATATAGATCAAATAGACGAAACACCTGATAAACTTTGTGAACTTGGTTATCAATATTATTATGTTATAACTGTTAAAATTGATAAGTATAAAGCAACAGTTATTTTCGAAATGCAGCTAATAATAGTAATTACTGTGCGCTTGGTTTTTTGTTGTCAAAACGGGATTGAAATTGAAAAAGACGAGCATAAGGCATTCATTTATTATCAAAACTCAGCAGAGATGGTTGCTAGTGGAATACTTGCAATTGGTGTCTGTCATCAAAATGGAATTGGAGTTGAAAAGGATGAACGTAAAGCATTCATTTATTATCAAAAATCAGTAGAGATGGTAATGTTCTTGGAACAAATAATGTTGGACATTGTTATGAAAATGGAATTGGGATGAACGTAAGGCATTCATTTATTACCAAAAATTTCAGAGATGGGGAATGCTAAAGGAACATTTAATGTTGGAAATTGTTATGAAGAAGGAACTGGAATTGAAAAGAATGAATATAAAGCGTTTAAACATTATTTAATAAGTTTTAAAGAAAGGAATCTTTGTGCTATGCATATTATTGGTCGTTGTTATGAAAACGGAATTTGTGTAGACAATGACGAAGATTTAGCCTTCGAATGGTGTTTGAAATCTGCTGGTATTAAACATGGATGCGTACTATTTTCATTGGATATCATATAAAATTTTTAAACATATTGAAGAAATAGGTAGGGAGGATTCTCTATAGTATATAAAACGTCTTTTTAAACATTCGAGGAAGTTGCAATCAAGATAGTAAAAATTCGCATAAAGATGAAAAAATTTTCTTAGGGTGCTCTCAAGCGTCATTCTCGATGTGATTAGCAATTGATCGCAATGGTAAAATTTTTATTGAGAATTCGAATATTCAATTTATGACGTAATTGAAATTTTTTCAAGCATCATCTTCGATGTGATTAATTAGTGATCGTAGTTAGGACCGGTCATAACCGTTAACCGATACCGGTCGGTCAGAGACCCTTAACCAACCGGTTAAAAAATCTGATCAATAATAAAAATTAATGTAATAAATATCCTTATATATTTTACTAAGCAAACTAGCTTTTGACTTC